AGCCAGAAGATCATTGAAATAGTCCAGTCTAGTAATGACAAGCCTGGGCAAAGTGTTGTGGAGCATGTCCAGTTAGGAAGGGCCTGATAATCCTGATGTTGTGCAATGCAAACCTGCTCATCGTCAGCTCATCATAAAAAGATTACCCCAAGATTTGGGATTATTGTTGATAATTATGACCTGGACGGTAAAAGTTTGCTGGTGGATGCTGTTGTGATGGTGAATTGGCTGTTCTTTCATTCATGCTGAGAAATCCACTATCCAATATGTCAAAGTTAAGAGTATATATGTAGAAGAAGAGGGGTCTCAGAATCTTTGAAGTACACTTGTAACTACTATTTGTAACTACAAAATACAAATATCAGAAACACAATATTTTGTGCTAAGAGTGGCCAGTTGTGTTGGAAACTGTAACATGATTAATTTAACCAATTATGATACATATCCACTATACTCTTGAGGTGGCAACAGAAGCTGTTTGTCTCTATTTAAAAAGTAACAACGATTTACAGAACAAACACAATATGTATCTATAATAATACACTTTCTCAACTTGTAATTATGTTTGTCTTGAAAATCCTTTATATTTTTACACAGAAGCTAACAACTTTAATGTTTGATGGCATCATCAGAATAATCAGATTATTTTGTTTATTTCAATATATAACATCAGACAAAATTTTTCATCTGTTTGTTTAATAAATAAATTATGCCTGCCCATGGGCCTGTACCATGATGGTAGTTAAACAAATGAATAGTTACAGGATTAGTTTTGAGTTGACAAACCAAACCACTCAAATCCGGCTTTGTTGGTACCATGATGCTGATCATCAACTTTCTTTGTCAACTTGGGCTTTGATCCTGAGTTTTTGGAGCGTGTGCACATGAAATCGTGACATTAGTGGCGAACAGCCAATCACATGCCTTGCAACACAGAGCAAGTGTGATTCACTTCTCGTGAGAAAGCCAGCGAGATTCAAAACTCTACACTTAACAACTGAAACACTAAAGTAAATTTACACTAAAGTGTTGTCCATGAAAAAGGACAAATAAAAGAACTTATCTTGCTCTATCAGTGCAGTCACAAGTGAAACTTGTGAAGTTAGTTTATATAGTTGATAATATATAGCGATAGAGACTCGAACATGCACGGTCACATGTAGTCATTTTTAAAGAGTTATCTATTGATTGATTTATCTATCTGTTGAATTATGTATATTACATATGATCTATAAATTAATATTCATTTAAAATAAATGCTTTATAATTATTGTTAAACAAAAATTATTTGTGTGTGATTGATTAATAATAATATAAACCATATAATAATTAAACAAGTCATATACAATAATTATCAATAATTAATTATCATTAAAGCCAGACATTTTTTAAAACTGTATAGTGACCTTTAATTTGGAGGAAGAGAAACTGGGGGAGTGACTTTTTATTTTTATTTTTTTGCGTCAGACATGTTTCACTTTGTTCACATCTGATTGGTCCAATTTTAGTTTAAGATGTCTTTCCCAGAACATAATTTGCCCCGCAGGTTAGCTGTGGAGTGTAAGGTACTATGGCAATGAAAGCTACTAAAAGCCAAGCCACTTTCATACCCTTTCGGTACCTAAAACCCAGGATTGCAGGGCCACGCAGAGACCTTTGGAGGGGCAGGTGCTCAAAGTATAAAAGGGGCACATGGAGCACGGCTTTTAATAGGGCTGTACTACTTGCTGAGACATGTATCGAAACGGATGCTTCTAATCACTCTGGAATTAGAAGCGGAATTATATTAGGACTATTATTATTATTATTATTATTGAGCTTACAGGGTATGGTGGTTTTGCTGTTGTAAACACTACTGTTGTTGTTGTAGAAAAAAAATATTTCCTGTCTTATTTAAAATAGAATTCTAATCCTGTTCTGAATTTTTTCATTTTTTGAATAATAATGATAATAAAAACAGGATTGATAAGTATAAATCGGAGGATGAGAAAATCAGTATAAGCCTGTTTTATCAGTGTAGTGATAATTATTTTTAAGGCACTCTACGTTTTTAAAATAAATACTGTAATAATAAGAGTTCAAAGTAATAGCTTTTAGTCAGACAACATAAAGACAAGACCCCTTGACACCCTTTAAACTTTTCCCAATCCAACAGCAAGAACGAAAGAGAACAGGCACCTTTGTTTATATTACTGTGTGTAGAACGTTAGCTGCTTTTTTAATATTTAATTTTAATGAATTGTAAATTCGTCCCCTGCAGTTTATTCGGGCAGGTGTGTTCACGTAGAGGTTTCTAGATTTAAATCTAGATTTAAATTCAAAGAGACCGTATTGATAGTCTATGCATGACCTGACGTTTTATTCGTATCCAAAAGGAGGAGAAGTGAATATCTGGATGCAGTGTATGTTTAATTCATACTCGAAGCCGGAGGGCGCACTCGTGCAGAAAATCCAAAACAGACTCATAGAAGTAATGACTTATGACGTGCAGGAAATCCCTAATATGGACAAAAGCAT